AAATAGCACCTGTTAAATAAATATAAGCACCTTTAAGAACTTTACAAAATATAATCGATCAAAAACGTAGAATAATAATTGTATTGTTATTCCACCTAATCACTTTGTTGAAACTTTTCAAAGCACTTCACAAGATTTCACTGTGAAGTACGGTGATTGTCTATTTATAGGCAAACATGACAACCAATTTATGCACAGCAATGTCCTACAAACTATCTAGCTGTGAATCATCAATTTTACCTCTGGATTGTTGTCCAGGAAACCTAGAGAAATTCCTTTCTATTTTTGAATAGTGCCAAGGGATCTTTATGCCCACCTGGTCAAGAAGATGGAACATCATCTAAGAATGGTAACTTCCACAAAGTAGCACTCTCCCAGCATTGCATTGAAGTGTTCTGATGTGGGATTTGAATCCGCAACCTTCTCCTGTCTCCCTGACCCTCTGCACTGGTTGACCTTACCCTCTCCATCAACTTACCAAACAATTGCTATGACAGCCACCTCCTCTCCCTAAAGTCGAAGGACTGTGTTAGTGAAGGTATGTAGCTCATATCTGGCCTCTCAGTCCATTACTAGAAATTACTGGACCACGCAAAGTCTTTCATTGCACCCTTGCCTCAGCTAAATCAACCTTCTGTTCCAGGATTATCCTCAACAACCCCAGGCCTCTCTTCTCCAACACTAACCACTTCTACTGCCAAACCTTCCTTGTTTCCTCCATTTTCAACTCCAACTCCAAATGTGAAGATATGATAGACTTTCTCTGGTCTAAAATCAAACAGATTCACTCAGCTGTCTCTGTCTCCAACATCACTGAGGGGAAAAATTAATCTCTTTCTAAAACAATAAATTTGGAGCAGAAAAAATTGTCTAATCCACAATATAAACAGAAGCCAGAAGTCAAATGTTTTTCTGACTTTACAATACGCTGCACTTTAACTTCTTTCATATGACACATTGAGACAAATAATCAGAAGTTTGTTCTGCCCTATTCACTTCAAATTCCACAACTGTTTAGCCTGGAGCTTCCATTTACACACATATATATATATATATATATATTGTGGGTGGTCGGAAGCTCGTTTCTGAGTAAGAAAATTGTGGGTTTAAGCCCCATGTTGGGATTTTGAACTCACAGTCTAAATTGACACTCTAATGTATTGTTGGGGCAATGCTGCATTGTCAGAGGTGCAGTCTTTGGGATGAGATGTTAAACTGAGCTCCCGTCTATGTGTTCAGGTGAACATTAAAGATCCCATGACCTGGCCAAGAAGCACAGATAAATTGGGTAGAAGGACTGGTGGATAAGACAGTAGATGAGCAGTGGGAAACTTTCAAAGGCAAGATAAACAGGGTACCAAAGAGACATATGCCTTCATCTATTAAAGGGAGTGTTGCTAAAACTAGGGTTCCTTGGAATTAATAGAGAAATGAAAATTAAAAGCTAAATTAAAATTAAATATAATTTAAAAGAGACATTCAATAAATGTAATGATAATATCAGACAGCAATTGTAGAAAGAAGGAGAAAAAGAGATTTGACTGGCCAAGAAAGGAAATGAGGTGAGACTGACAGGGTATATAAAGAAAAATACTAAAGTATTTTCTAAACATATAAAAAAGCAAAACAATAGTTAAATAAATAATTGGAAATAAAAGGGAAATATAGACATAAGAAATGAAGCAAAAGCATTTTTAATGATAGTTAATGAGTATTTGACCTCAGTTTTTTTCAGAAGAGAGTTGTCTTGAGATGTTGAATGTACAAGGGGAGGATGCACAGCAGTTAGAATGGATAGCTTTAGAAAAGGAAATGATGCTGAAGAAACTGATGGATTCAAGAAAGGGAAAGCATCCAGAAATGTTGAGGAGGAAATAGTAGGTGCTCTGACCACAATTTTTCAGACACCCTTGGATTTGAAAGTTGTGCCAGGACACTGGAGGATAGATAATATAACACCTCTATTTAATAAGGGAGAATGTAACCTACAGATTGATTAAAAAATAGTCAGTCTAACGTCCATTGTGGGCAAACTTCTAGAAGCTATAATACAGGATAATATTGATAACCATTTGGAAAGCGATAGGTTTAATTAAAGACAGTCAGCATAGGTTTGTTAAAGGCAGGTCTCGCCTGACAAATCTAATAGAGTTTTTGATAAAATAATTGAGACACTAGATGAGGTAATGCTGTTGTTGTGGTATATATGGATTTTCAGAAAGCTTTTGATAAAGAGGCTTGTTAAAAAAAAGGGCACAAAGTATTAATTGGAAAGGTAGCAACATAGAGAAAAAGTTGGTTAAAGGATACAAAATTGAGAGATGTATATAGGGTGTCCCACAGGGGTCAGTGTTAGGATACTGCTTTTCATAGAATTATAGAATCATAGAATTATACAGCATAGAAGGAGGCCATTTGACCCGCTGTGTCCGTGTTGGAGATAAATGTTTTCTCCATTTATATAAATGATCTGGGTTCTGTTATAAGAGGCACAATTTCTAAGTTTGCAAATGACATGAAAATAGTGAGCAGAGAAATTGCAAATGAAATTTAATGCAGAGAAATGTGAGGTTTTACATTTTGGGAAGAAAATAAGGAGAACAAGTGCATGCTTGGTGGTAAAGTATTAAAAGGAGTGGAAAAGCAAAAGGACTTTGGGATTAATGTACATAAATCCGTAAAGGTGGGAGAGCAGGTGGTCAAAGTTGTTAGAAAAGATAATAGATTAACTCTTAGGATTTATAAATAGGAGCATAGAATATAAAAGCAAAATAACTGTAAAGTTAGATAAATCGTTAGATTGCCAATTCTCCTCCTTTTCGCTGTACCCCTTAATAACTCTACTACACAAAAATCTATTTGTATTCCATTGATTCCATCTCTACAGCTTGCTGGGCAGAGCATCTCATGCTTGTGTAAAAAAAACATTGCTGCAGTTATCCAAATTAAAGACATGTTGCTAAATACCCAAAGCATGCAGGTTAGTTAGTAAGTGGCTCAATCTGCCATATCTTCACAACCATGAGCTGAGAAACAGGCATTCACACTAATGAACAGTTTACAGAATGAAAACTACATAATGTCTGCATAACGTAAGTCGAGCCAGCCCCAATCCCTGTGGCACCACTGTAAATATTTTACTCTATGTTGACTGGATTCAGTAAAATAGCACTGCAAAATGTATGACAAGTGGACTGACATTTGTTTAAATTCGGTTAAAATATTAGACATGGAAAATAGAGTAACTTATAACATGAACGTAAACATGTTCTCTTCACTAAGGCAGAAACATTTTGTCTGGCTCTGTTCAATATCAACAAGGAAATAATAAACGAGGAGGCCACCTAACAGCAGACCTGCAGATTCCAAAAGATCTGAATCCTGTAGCAACTAAATGCAAAAATAGCTACTATGTTTCAAATGAGTGTCGGCCTGGCTCATCTGGTAGCACGCTCACCTCTGAGTCTGGAGGTTGTGGGTTCAAGCCCCAATCGTGATTTTGAACTCATGTTGGACTAGGTTGGCAGTCCAATTCAGTGCTGGTGGAGTGCTGCAATGTTAGAGGTTCTGTCCTTTGGATGAGATGTTATATCAAGGTCTCGTCTGCCTGTTCATGTGGACATTGAAGATCTCATGACACCGTTCGAAAAGAAAAGGAAGTTTCTCCTGGTGTCCTTCCAGATGCAATTGGGCATTCCCTTCATGGATGTTTGCAGGACATTGCTATGCGCAAATGAGCTGCTGCGTTCTCCTATGAAAATACAGACACTACACTTTATAGGAAATCCTGTGAAACACTTTAGGTCATCTCGATGACTTGATAAGTTGCTTTATCAAATGCAAGGATTATCATTAAGCCCCCATGGAGCTTTAATCCAGCTGATTTGTCAGAGGTGCCATCTTTTAGATCAGTTGTTATGCCGAAGTCCTGCTTTTTAAAGTGCACATCAACAATCTATTCATACACTCGTCATAAAGAGAAGGGAGTTTCCCCCCTGTAACCTTTGGGCAACAATCTTCCAGATAAATTGGTCACTCACCCCATGGCTATCTGGGATCTCGCCAGCACAAATGTCTGCCACCTTTGCCTACAAACACAGAATTTACTGCTCTTGACTGTAATTATCTCCGAGGCCCTTTAAAATTATTTCTATTGTCTTTAACTTGAAAAATAAAACAATATCAGCTTAGTTTTTCTGCTCCATTTTCTTCACTCCTTTCCTGAAGTCCCTATTCTCTCTCTCTCTCTCCCTGAGAAATAGTTTAATGGGCAGCAGTGCCTTCCGTTACTTCACTCAAGCGGCCATTCATTATGTGTGAGCTCAGATGAGGCATGCAGTCTGGCTTGACAAATGTGGGGACATCACAACCGAACCAAACTGATCTGCACCTGATGTCTCTGCACAAGTTCTTTGCAGCTGTAATCACTGGATAGTGATGAGGTTCGGAAACTCTAGCTGTTTTTTTTTCTCTTTCCTGACCCAGTGCACTGAAGCCAATTGTAGCATTAGTCAAGATCAACTAACAAGACAAGCTGAGAGTTGAACTGGGGACTCTTCCTGTCTGTTTTTACTTTTCTTTCAGCTGCTGAATATATGGTTGCCAAACCTAGATATCTTATTTAAGTTACAACGATTACATCTGCCTTGATACTTTCACTTGCATCTACCTCAGTGTTTTGAAGAAATGACAGAGATCAAAGATGCGTTTGTATTTTCCATCAATAACACACTGTGACAGCTAGGGAGCACAGATTTATTGGTGGAAAAGCTATCACCATATAGCCATCTGCTTTTTTGAATAAATAGAATGTCAAGCCATGACTATGTTGTTTTGGCTTTAACCCAGTTCTTCAAGTCCCTACTGGTACAACTATGTGTTTAAGACCCAGCAAAAGTATTTTTCCACTTCATGTTGTACGATTATACCCACCCACATGTTGGGAATAGCTAATCACAGTCCTGACTGAAATTTATCACTAACTAGTCTAATCGTTGTATAAATAATCCTGATTGCCCTCAGAGAGGCTAGGTTCTTTGAGTACGCACCGGTTCTCTGTGTGGTTTACCTTTCTGTGTTTCAATGCATCTTTTAAAGCACTGGAGTGTTCAGTTTGTGCTGATTTCACTGCTAATACGGGTCTCACTAGAGGTGCCTAAGCCCATCCGTTGCTTGCCTTGCACCAACGAAAGGCTGGGTCATTGCCCACCCATGGAGAATTCTTGTGGAGGGGAGCTGGTGAGGGAACCCGGTTGCGGATGCTGTCAGACGTGTGCACTGGCTTCAGGTCAGCCATGTGGGGTATACAGTGCACGCTGCTCTGCGGGGCTCCTCTGTTATCCGCAGATAGAGGAAGGCAAACCCCTGCAGGCACTCACCCAGGGACGGGCCATATGCATGGAGCAGGCTGAGGTGGAAAGGATCCAAGCACTTCAAACAGAACAAGCAGGTAACAAGTACATTTGTTATGCAGCGAAGGACAAATCAACATCGTAGACTGAAATTAATTCTGTATTATTAGCATAATATTTACAAATCCACAAACATCACTGCATGTTAATAAATATAATAAATAAATATTCAATTGTGTGCAGATGACAGTTTAATGTGAATTTGATATCCTTTAAAGAAGCTCTTTGTTATTTTAGTCAGAAATTCCTGAATACAAAGGAATCAGTACTACAAAAAAAACAATAGTGTAAGCTTTACACAAAATCTTTCCCAGAGGATCAACAGTTTGGAAATGGTCTCATATGGTGAAATCTGAAAGGGACGCTACGTGTCTTTTGTTGTCTTTGAAGCCCTGAACTGGCTACCATTTGTGTATACAGATCATATACAGCACTTCTGGTGACAATGTGCCTTTTAATACCTGTTTTATGGCCTGTGTTTCACAATTACCCACATGTCTTTAAGTTCTAAGAAAGTTGTAACTCCCTTGCTATTGACAATGCTCAATAGTCCATTGAAGAATTAAATCACAACAAGCATTGGAAGTTTCTTTTTAATTTTAGAATATTTATGTTTAAAAAGAATGAGGACATTAGCTATATGAGCTTCTGCTTCACTGCTCAGTAAGTCCTAAATACTCTGAACCCTGAACTAATAATTTGTTTAACCCTCAGGTAACAAAATCAGTATATTTGCTGTCATTTATATATTGTAAAGTTCCATTTGTTTGGCATGTAACAAAAGGAATGCTCAGCGCAAAAGGACCATGAAAACACAGGCTGCTGGAAAAAAAGTGAAAGGATGGAGAGAGTGTCATACATTAGAACTTCAGTTCCCTCGTGCTTTCCCAATTATGCATTTCTAATGATGTGTTTGGGACAGTGCGGGTGTGATAGTTGAAATTCTGGTCATAATCTCTGCAGAATCATAGCTACAGACTTACGGGCGCTGGTTGGTAACATGATAATGGCAAAGAATTTGGAAAAACATGAACATAAGACTTTAAGGAAGCATGGAAGAAAAAAGGGCAATGGCCCATCAAGCCTGCTCCATTGACATGCCATTGCCAAATTTACTCTTCCACAGATGCGTATCTTTAGCAGAATGCAGTCTGTGTTCGTGGGTTGAGACTTGGAACTGTCCTGAGTCAGTGAATATTGCAAGAAGCTGGCTGTGGATGGGAGGCAGAATTAAATTCACCATTTCACCAAGTCTTCTTTTATTCTTTTCTCTAAAGTGTTGGCCAACATTGCCAGCATGTCTTAGACACAGGACATAAATTTTACTTCAGAAATATTAGCTCTAACATTTCTGAATGAAAAGTAATTAAAACTATTTGCTACAACAACAGCAACTTATTTATTGCCCTTCACACAGAAGTGTCTCAGAGCACTTAAACACTGTTTAAAAGCAACAGGTAAATAGATGGTATATGTCAGGCATTATTGGTGGGTTGGTGGGGGGCGGGGTTATGTTTATCCCATGGTTAAACATCAGAGTATAGCCTAACCATTTACTCAGCTGCTTGTTGATTTGCTTAGTTGACTGACCATTTGAATAACTGCAGGATACAGAGGTTCTCAGCATACAGCTAGTTTGTACCACAATAATAAAAGTAATTGACCAAAATAATAAAAGAATATTTAAAAATAATATTGAATTGAAATTCTTCTGTAAGCCTCAGCCATAGATCTGTTTGTGTTCATATTCAAAAGTGATCCACTTCCTTTTATTCATGTTGAATCTTGTTATGGTGTTATCCATTCTTCAGTGCCATCGCAAACATACTGCTAAAACAAGACTTTGCAGTCATTGAGGTTTGATAGAATTTCAGAGGTCATGTTTGAAGGTGTATCTAAAGTTTCTGCTTACACATTCAAATAATAGTTTCTTTGTGTTGGATTCTTGCATTCCTATGACAAGCCATAATTCACTGATATGCCCAGTAATTTATAGGGAAAATATATGAAATGACTGGCAATTAGAGATAGGATTTAGAATTTTAAACTGATGAGGAGAAATAGAGTGAACGTTTGTGAATTGTGGGACTCAAAACAATGCATTCAAAATTAAGCGAGAGTTTAAAATGTCTCAACAATGATTCGTAAATGTGAATGAATAGCATTGGACTCCTATGAGTATCAAGAATAACATTAATTGTTATTAATAATTAATTAATTAAAAACAATGATAAATTGGTCATTTCAATCCACGACTGTTTGTGGGACACTGCTGTGCGCAATTGGCTGCTGCATTTCGCCCATAAATATACAGTCAATTCACTTTACAATCTATTTTATGAAGTGCTTTGAGACGTTTAGAAGACATGAAAAGTGCTATATCAAATGCAAGGATTATTATTATTAATTATTATTTTTTAATAATCCTTACATTTTACATAGAGCCTTTCATGTTGGAAGGATTTGTCAAAGCAATTAATGGGATTTTACTGTAAAGTGACTGCTTACTTCATAGATGAATGCAACAACAACAATAAAGTTACATTTGTATAGTGCCTTTAACGTCAGGAGGACGTCCCAAGGCGCTGGACAGTCAGTGTTTTGGACCCGAGCTGAGAGTCAGAATCAGGGAAAGTGGAGGGCAGGGGCGGGAAGGAGGGTGATCGAAGGCACGGTCGAAGAGGAGGGTCTTGATATGGGTCTTGAAGGAGGCAAGGAAGGGGGTGAGGCAGAGGGACTGCGGAATGGAGTTCCAGAGGGTGGGGGCAGAGTGGCTAAAGGCCCGCCCACCAATGGTGGGGCAGGCGAAGCGGAGAACGTGAAGCAGGCTGAAGCCCGCTGAGCGGGGGAGTGGGCTGGTTGGTCGGGGGTTAGGAGGTTGCAGATGAGCAAGGGAGCAAGGCCATGGATGGCTTTGAAGGTGAGAACAAATGCAGAAGCCAATTTGCACAGGGCATTGTCCTACAAAGAGCCATGAAGTAAATGATCAATTTTATCTGGGGGATTGCTGGGCAGGATATTGGGTGAAGCTCGCTTCTCTTTTTGAATAGTGACTGATATAGATAACATATTGCAGAGATAGAGTTATAATCGGAGGATGTGTTCTTTTACAAAAAGGATACACAGATTACCTTTGAAAGAGGGTGTTGAAGTGAAAATATTTCAATCAAAGGAGAACAGAAGTTAGCTGAGAGACAAGTAATCGTAGAACAAGACTCACTTGAGCAACAACTCAACTAAATGAGATGAAACTGATGAGCTGAACACTTTAATCTCATTCCAAGTATATATACATTTCCAAAAGAAAGTTTATATAGGTACTTACCATTTAATTGAGCTGTTTCCCTTTAACCACTGTAACAAGCTTGGCTCACTCACGTGTCCTGGGTATAGCGCAATGTTGAATTAGAGTTTGACTTGTATTTTGACGGTTCTGTGGCTCGCTGTGGTGTACAATCATGTCCAGTTTTGTCAATTCCTATTAAGTGAATAATTTGGTTTTACCATATGTGAGTCATGCATTATGAGCATTCATTTAGCAGGAGTTCACAGTGAAATCTTAGTATGGATTTGTCTTCCAGAACGTCTTGCATATGTTTTTAATCATAATAGAAAATAGTACAAACTACTCACTACAGCATTTAGGTTAAAGCAGGTAATTTAGTGGATTGCTATGATTCTTTTAATCTACTAAACGAAGGAGACTACGTAAACTCAGCTGTAAACATAACAAATTGCGATACATGTGAAGAAAGTATTCCCTGAATAGGAGATAGTGATTAAAGACAATTCATGTGGCATGAGTTAAGACATTGAGTTTTGGCAGAAAGCAATATCTTATCACAAAATTATTTCTTTACCTAACATACAATCATTGTACTTATAGAATAGGTTCTACAAATAGAAAACATCTATTTGGATCACAATGCCACCCATAAATCATCTGAGAAAAGACTTCAATATGCATGAATTTGTCTTATTTGAGGTATTTTATGAAGCAGCTTTGTCAACAACAACAAAATTACATTTATATAGTGCCCTTCACGTCGGGAGGATGTCCCAAGGCGCTGGACTGACAGAGTTTCGGACCTGAGCTGAGGGTCGAGGTGGGGGAGGGGGTAGGGCAGGGGGGGAAGCAGGGAGAGTGAAAGTATGGTCGAAGAGGAGGGTCTTGAGTTGGGTCTTGAAGGTGGGAGGGAGGGGGCAAGATGGAGGGACTGAGGGATGGAGTTCCAGAGAGTGGGCGCAGAGTGGTGGAAGGCCCGCCCGCTGATAGTGGGGTGAGCAAGATGGGGGACGTGAAGCAGGCCGGAGCCCGCTGAGCGGTGGGAGCGAACAGGTTGGTAGGGGGTTAGGAGGTCAGAGAGGTAGGGGGGAACAAGACCATGTTTTTTTGCTTTGAAGGTGAGGACCAGAATCTTGAACTGTATCCTCTGTGTGATGGGAAGCCAGTGGAGTTGGGCAACGATGGGGATGATAGGGTCACGGAGCCTAGTGCGGGAAAGGACACGGGCTGCAGATTTCTGTATGATCTGCAGCCTGTGGAGGGAGGAGTTGGGAGGTTGACAAGAAGTGAGTTTGTGTAGTCGGGCCTCGAAGTAATGAAGGCGTGTATGAGGGTTTTGGGCGGCCTGTGGTGTGTGACAGAGTTGGAGCCGGGAGATGCTGTCAATGCTTTTCATGCGCTTTTTTATTGTTAGCAATTTTCAGCCTTTAGTAGCATCACTTCTGGTTGGTAGTGGAGAACATACTATTGATTTTTATGCTGTGAATTCAACTGAATTTACATAGAAAAGGTAAATATTCAAAGCATGCATTAATGTTGTCTTCATAGTAGACAACATTAACGTACACCAACAATAAACTGCCTTTCTCTCATAATGGCCTATTATTTCACCGTATCTTTGTATTGTAAAAAAAATGAACTTGATAGCGCGAAATGTCTTTCTCTTTCCCCCCTTCCAATGTTTTAAGCTCTGGAGGGCAAATACCAATCAAAGTTCATGCTCCTGATTAGCTTCTAGAGATCCCTGCGGGG